CTAAACTTGATTCTTAGCCCCCCCTCAGACTCAATTTTGTGGCCCCATCTCTGAAAACTGCGAAATCTCTTGAGAACACTAATTTCGTGCGAGAAATACTTTACACAGATCTTATCTGTTATCAAGAAGTGGGTCCAGTTGAACAACAGAAGAGTTCGATTCAGTGTTTCTATAGGTTGAATAAACTACATGACCACAAAACATGCTTTGACTAAAACTGCGAGTATGAATGGAAAACATTTTGCAATCAGTACAAAAGTTAAGATGACCTTCTCGATCGTGGTTCGTCAAAATATCCAGTTAAACTGGTTTATTTTCGAGGGTCGGCCTATATTCGCGGAAATATGATAGACAAAACATGAATACTAAAGCCGAAAACCCACCCCGGAAAATGATCCGCGGATCGGATCAGATTTCGTGTTGCGCAAGCGCTTTGGATGCAGAAATGGTCACATGACTGATCCGCGACGGATCGAAACGGTTCAAAAAAAAGTTGAAATGATTTATGCAAATGCCTATTCTTGAGGGGGGGGGGTGTTACACCCGCCCTTACTACGATCTATAGATAGGGCGCAAAAATCGACTTGGCCACCCCAGGGAAAACATAGCCACCCCGCCACTGAGTTTATTGAAGCATGTGCTCGATTTGTTTTCTTGTGCAAGGACAGCTTCCTTTTTTCAAATATATTTCAAGTGATTATTCTGACCTTCTAATGATGGTTTTCCATCAGTAAAACATGATTCTCGATAACATTCAATCAGGCCTTTTTGTTTGACGCGAGCGATCAGACCGCGCCAGCACGCGCGCAAACTCAACTCGTCGTAAAAAACGGTAAATTGTTAGGAATAAATATTATGACTGAACACATTTCCAGTCATCTTTTGTTACCCAAACAAGTGACATAGACGATACAAACAGGGCCGCCGGACGTAGGTTTGAACAGGGGGGCCAAAACGAATAAAAAGTGCACGAATATTTTTCTCCGAAACATTAGTAAGTGCCAAAAATGGTACAGATTTCACGGTAATTTAGACATTTATAAAAATAATGACACACGCTGGACATAGTGAAATCTATCTTCGCTGAAAGCAGATATGGCTATGTACTCAATTTGGCGACCACGCACTCTTGATCATAATTAATTGTATAGCTTCCCATCTCATGGCCGTCAAAGTTTTTGAGAGTGTAAATCTTTCTTCCACGTATGCAATTACAATACGCTGCACTTATTTTACTTATAATTTGCATTGTAAGTGGATTTGGCCCTTGGTAAGAAGCAGGCACACATCCTTCTTTCATACTTGAGGCAGGCGCGTTATACTCAACAAATGTTCAGATTTATTGCAACATACCAACGAACTCAACCCAAAATATGAAGTAAATGGAATTTTTGAATTCTTAGTCTCTATATACTTCAATGCCAATTCTTCACTGCCATAGCATATTTGATTTGCAACATTGATTAGGTTTATCTCATCAGCCCTATGAGCGAAACAAGTTTTAAACTCTCCTTAGACTTGATCCCGGCGGGCTCAGTCAGTTGGTCAAACGTATAACATGTGAGTTCCGAAAAACTCTGAGAAAGGGTGGTCTGAAAACTAGAATTCTGGGACATAGAATCTTAAAAATAGGGTTGCTTTTTTACTCAGTCAGAGGAACCACAATAAGGGTAGATATTTACTGATATGATGTTAGAAATCATTTTTTGTTAAATCAATAGTTATCGAAGTACAAAAAATTTTTGCAGTAGAATTTAATCTTGTATATTGTTCTAATCCTAGATAAGAAATTTAAGTCTTTGTTTGAGTCTTTGCGAGCCTGTACTCATTGCAGGGACACAACTTCTGTAATTTCTTCATAAAAAACATTCAACACATGTTGTGAAGTAATCAACGTGTTGCAGTTATAGTTATACAGATGTCTGACTTTGTTAATATACATTTCAAGAACCATAAAGGATTGTTGTTAAAATCAAATTTTGTGAACTCTGCTTTTTAACTTGCCTAGACAAGTTCACAAAAAAATGGTTCTAGCATGAATTGGTGTCAAGAATTTCTGCTCAAGCTGGAATATTCTCAGTGAAAAGAGTTACACAATTTTGGCAAAGTCACAGAATAGGGTACATTTTAAGCATCCCAAAGTCAGAGATAGGGGTCCAGTTTCTACTTTCAGGAACACACACGATAATAGGTTGGACCAACTGACTGTGCCCGCCGGGGACTTGATCAGACCTTTCACTAATGCGTTTGTTGCTAAAGACATACTAAGGAAATTTTCTCGCGAAACTGGCAGTCTCCTTCGCAGTTGATATTGTTCATCACAAGAGCTTGCGCTTCTCGCATCAGGACCCAGTAAAAATTAAAGGAAATTTCAGTGAATGGTCCTCCAATAGCGCCCAGAGTTATATTATTTTACTTAGCTTCTAAAGGCAGAATATCTGGCAGTGAAAAAATACATGCAATTTATTTTTCAAAAAGGGGCACTTGTTTATACTTTTTGCAAACAGGGAGGGGGGCTGTGCCCCCGTGGCTCCGGCAGCCCTGAAAGCCGGTCTATCAAAACACAAGAGGCATAGGTAAGCTGAATTAACCACATTTCAACGGAAAAATGCATTTGAAATCAATTCCACCGCGATATCACTTAGGGCCTGATTATATGGAAGCGGGCTGGCCCGTTTACCGAGACGGAATTTACGTTGGTATTATATGTGAAAAGAGCTGTCTCGGCAAGCGGGCCAGCTCGAATGTATTTGCCTGCGCATTACAGTTCTGCGCCTTGTATGTGAAAAGACAGGAAATTTAGACGTAAAATGGTGCGGCATTATCGTGGAGGAATAAAACAATGCTCATCTTGAATATTTCCAAGATGTTTAGCCTCTGGCTTGCTCTAGCCTTTCAAATGAACGGCTAGATTCATTGCTACAGTTTGTACAGAAAAACTGTGAACGACAAGCCTGTATTGTATCTTATTACGGACTGAAAAGAAGTTCGGTGTTTACACAGAGGATTTTCCGTTAAGTTTTGTAGCAGCAGCAGCAGATTTACTGACTTTGTCGGCAGTTATGATTTTTGTGACACGTCGATGAAAAGAAACTGCGCATGCTCCAGTGTGTGTTTTCAGCCCACTTGTCATGCTGGCTCGGTTTGATGCAATTACATGGAAACGAGCCAGCCCGTTTGGCGAGCCAGCCCGTTTGGCGAGCCAGCCCGTTTGGCGAGCCAGCCCGTTTGGCGAGCCAGCCCGTTTGGCGAGCCAGCCCGTTTGGCGAGCCAGCCCGTTTGGCGAGCCAGCCCGTTTGGCGAGCCAGCCCGTTTGGCGAGCCAGCCCGTTTGGCGAGCCAGCCCGTTTGGCGAGCCAGCCCGTTTGGCGAGCCAGCCCGTTTGGCGAGCCAGCCCGTTTGGCGAGCCACCTTGCTTGCCAGGCTTGCTCGCTTCCATGTAATAGCAGCTCACTTTTCACGAGCAACAGACCATAGACGTTTGCTGGCCCGTTGGCCAAGGCAGCCCGTTTACCTGCCAGCTTGCCCCATATAACCAGGTCCTTAGTATTTGAACTATATTAGCAAATGGAACATTTTCTGTGCAGTAAAGGGTTATTAAAAGAGGTTTGGAACAACATTTTGCGACCGTCCGGCAATAATGTCTATATGACCTTTCTGATGTACAGATAATTTATAAACAAAGCAGCACATTTATATTGGGTATTTAATCTTTCTTGGAGTGCAATGAAGATTATCATAAGAGTTCGTTTTCATTTGATATTACTTTACACACAAGTACCTTATAACTGGATTATAAGACACGGTGTTGTGAACATTCCAGCCGCTTTTGGGATTGTTTGTTATTATTATCGCTTTGAGAGCGATTGCTTCCTGACAGGGGCGGACTGGCTGCAAATTTGGGGCCAGGGCCAATTCGTCGTGAAAGGCCCCCGAAAATAAAAAATCAGTTTACGGGTATCTCCAAAGTTGTTTGCTGCATCACCTTTTTATACTGGCTTAAAACGTTATTGGAATATTGCTATTAATTCTAACTTGTAACCACCAGGGATGTGGGCGTAGGTGTAAAAGATTTACAAGAGAGATCTACAATCGTTAGTCCAGGTCTGTAAGAATATCCGGTATATAACAACGAAAGAACACCCGAATTCGAACTTCAATACTCCATTTCATAATCTCACGCATAACATAATATAACATAACATAACGAACCGGGCGCATGCCCAACATAACATAAATACGAGGCTAATAACGTCACACCTTTCCTCCAACAAAAGAATAAACGGAACAGTAAGATAATAAAAATAATTGTTTTTAAAGTTTGCTAATCAGAAGTTGTGGCCAGTGAGGTAGTCATGCCGAATTACTTTCCTGCCACTCCTTGTCGTTACTGGCTGGTAAAAGTTCAATTGCCTGTGATCAAATCTGGTCTCAGCAGGTCTGGCGGCTGCTGTCTTTTCTTCAGTAGCATCAGGTCGTGAGTGAGGTGACTCTTGCGGATCAAATTGCTCCATTTCAGATTGGTGATCTTCATAAGGTCGAGCCACTGCTTCTCGTTCCTTTCTGGGGAAAATGATTGAATCTTCTTCATCTGCAAAGAAAGGCTCTTTGGTTTGACGTAGAAACTTTCTATTTCGTCTGAAGATTCTTCCATCTTCGGTTTTTACATTATAAGATCTTACACCAACTTGCTCTATGACACATCCTTTGGTCCAGCGGCCTGTTCTGTCGGAATTTCTTGGCTTTATCCGGACTACATCATCTTTCTTTAATGCACTTAGCTCCCTTGTGCCTCTGTTATAATACTTTGATTGTATCTCTTTCCTCTTTCGAAGTTTTTCTTGGACACCAGTGACAACCTTTGGTTTAAGGAGCTTCTTCGATATGGGAAGCAGTGTTTTAGCTCGTCTGCTAAACATACGCTGGGAAGGAGAGCTTTCCATCCCCTCAGACGGCGTGTTTCGCCATTCTAGTAGCACAAGATAGAAGTCATTGCCAGATTCAGTCGCTTTTTTCATTAGCATCTGCAGTTTTGACGGCATTTTCTGCTTTGCCATTACTCTGTGCGTACTCTGGCGAGCTTAGCTCGGTGGTAAATTCATATTCCTTGGCAAAATCCTGAAATTCTTTAGAGGAGAAAGGTACGTTGTCACTCATGAGCGTATCTGGTATGCCATGAGTAGAGAAGTGTCGCTTGAGCTTCTTCTTAATTTCCCCAGCAGTTTTGTAAAATAGACGATCTATCTCAAAGTAGTTGGAGTAGCAATCTACAGTACAGAGGAAGTCTTTGTTGTTGACTGTGAAAATGTCAGCAGCAATTATTTGCCAGGGGCGGCTTGGGATTTCACGAGGAATAAGGGGCTCTCTGGTCTGGTTGTTTTGGAATGTGTTACAGATTTCACATTTTGAGATGAAGTCGATAAGATCTTTGTTCATGCCAGGCCAGTAAACTGCTTCTCTGGCTCTTCTGAGGCAGCTCTGTATTCCTGTGTGTGTTACATGCAGTTTATCCCGGATCTTTTTGCGCAGTGTTTCTGGAACAACTGCTCTCTGACCCTTGAATATTACGTCATCCTGTGTTGCTAGCTCGTCTCTAATTGAGAAAGTAAGGATGAATACATCGAGGAAGGGTATCTTTTCTTTCTGGCCACCCATTCAAAATTATTTCTTTCAGTGCTTGTAAAGTGCTGTCACATTTGGTTTCTCGCTGTATTTCCTTCAGCTGTGGCTCAGAGATGGTGAGATAATTTGACATGTGAATAGTTTCGACTTCTTCTTCAGTTGCGGACTTTTGTCTCTCACTTGTCGGCAGGTATGCACGAGAGAGTGTGTCTGCTAGAACAATTTCTTTGCCAGGTTTATAGCAGATTTTAACATCGTATGATTGCAATCTTAGTAGCAACCTTTGCAGTCTCTTTGGAGCAGAGGCGAGTGGTTTGCTGACGATTGAGACAAGTGGTTTGTGATCCGTCCAAAGTGTAATCTCTCTGCCATAGACATAGGTATGGTGATGTTCCACTCCAAATACTTGTGCAAGCAGCTCCTTCTCTATTTGGCTGTAATTTTGCTCTGCAGGGGTGAGGGCTCTGCTTGCATATGACACGGGACGTCCCTCTTGCATGAGCACGAAACCAAGCCCCTTTGATGATGCATCAGCCTGGCCTTCTGTTGCTGCCTTATGGTCAAAATACTTTAGAACTGGTGCCTCACAAATTGCTTTTTGTATGTCAGCAAAAGACTTGTCATGATCTTTTCCCCATACCCATGGTGCATCTTTGTGGGTCAAACTTCTCAGAGGCTCGCATACTTCAGATAGTCTGGGAAGAAACTTGGCCAGGTATTTTACCATGCCAATGAACCTTTGTACACCAGCGACATCTTTCGGCTTGCTCATCTTTGTGATGGCTTCAACTTTTGCGGGGTCTATTTTAAGACCATTCTGTGTTAGGGTATGACCAATGAAGGAAACTTCATCGCATTTGAACTTGAATTTGTCCTTGTTCAGCTTGATGTTTTTTTGTTGACAACGTTTCAAAAGTGCCACCATGTTCATGTCATGATTTTTGACAGCTTCTTCGTAAGTTTCTCCTCTACCCGTAACAAGAGCATCGTCAGCGACTGCATACACCCCAGATAGGCCTTCAATGCACTGATCAAATTTGTGTTGAAAATGTTCTGAAGCTGGTTTAATTCCAAATGGCATCCTGAGGTACCTCCAACGCCCCCATGGTGTCTGGAACGTTGTGAGCATGCTTGATTCTTCATCGAGCTCTATTTGAAGGTACCCTTCCTTCAGGTCAATTTTGCTGAATACCTTGACACCCTCTAGCTCTGGTAGCACATCCTCAATGAGCGGTAAAGGATAATGACTTCTTTTCAATGCTTTGTTGAGGTGTTGTGGATCGATGCACACCCTCAGTTTCCCATTTGGTTTTTCTGCAATGACGAGATTTGATACCCAATCTGTTGGACTTGTAACTTTCTGAATGACATGAAGATTTTCCAGCCTTTCCAATTCAGCCTTGAGTTTGGCTTTGAGAGCGATTGGTACTCTGCGAGGCGGCACGACAACAGGGGTTTGTGACTCATCAACATCTAAGTGCAATTTGCCTGACATGTGACCCAGACCTTCAAAGACATCTCCAAAACGGTTCTCTATATCTGCAATACTGAGTGGAGCCACTGCGGTGGTCGATAAGACTGTTTCCATGACAACCGTTGGTTGTGCCTGTTGATGTGTGCTGTTTGAAGCAATACTGTTAGAGCTAACATTATCTACATTTGCGTTAAAGATATTAGCATAATTAACAGTAAGAAGTCCCATCTTTTGTGCTGCATTTGCTCCTAATAATGGCACATAGTCACCTTTTACAACAACAAATCTGACAGTGTACTCAGTCTGGATCTTTGGGTTTACTACCTTAAGTTTACAAATACCATTTATCGGTAATAAGGCTTGGCTGTACAGGCGCAAAGAGTGATCCGATTTTTCAACTTTTGTGCCTGGAGGAACGAAGTGTTCTGGAAGGACATTACAGGTAGCACCTGAGTCAATTTGAAAACTAATTTGCCTGCCTTTTATAATCATGGAGGCAAAAATTTTGTTCTTAGGAGGGGACTGGGACACAGCATTTATTGCCAGATTATTTTTGGGTGAAATTTCAACAATGAGAATTTCATCATCACTTGAAGTGTTTTCTTCCTTCACTGCATGTATTTTGGCTTTAGAAAATGTATCTCTCATACCTGGTGATTTCTTCAAGCTGCACTTCTCAACAAAATGGTTTCTCTTACCACAACCAGAACAATATCTGCCAAAGGCTGGGCAACTCTCTTTGTTTCTTTTATGGCTACGCCCACAAAATTTGCAGTCGGAAATAAAACCTCTTGTGTCTCCAGTGGTCTTCCTCGGGCTGCTTTGCTTTCCAACATAAGGGGCCATGAGGTCTTGATTATCATCTTGGCCAGCAATTATTTTTGCTTGAGCAGTAGTTGTTTCTGTGGCCCTGCATAAGTCAATGCATTTAGATAATGAGAGTTTTGGTTCTTGCAGTAGCTTACGTCGCACAGCATTGTTGTGAATGCCACAAACAATTCGGTCACGTATCAACTCATCATTAAGTGGTCCAAATGCACATGTGGCTGCGAGGGCACGCAAAGAAGCCGCATAAGTTTCAATTGACTCTGTAGGGCCCTGTGTACAATTATTGAATTTATACCGTTCGTAAATCACATTTGTTTCTCCAATACAGTAAGTATTCCATAATTCGAAGACTCGCTCAATGTTTTGACGTTCACCCTCCTCCTGGTACGGAAGTGAATTGTGTATTCGAAGGGCTTCCGGTCCTATGCAAGTGATGAAAGCAGCCACTCGAAAATTGTCTGGTTTAGACTTCAAATTCGTAACAGTTTCGTACGCATCATAGATTTGCTTCCATTG